GCATGCTATATAGATGAAAATAACACCATTCGATTCAGTGAAAAAATTCCTATCAATAGATATAATAAAATGTCAACATTATAGTGATTTACGACCTTCAGAGAGCAAGCGGTGTCATATTTCACTAGATTACACAATATTCCTGAAAAATGTAAGAATGTAATAAAATGTATCACAAAGGCATACCTTTCGCCGAACATAACTTCGGCCCCTTTCAACATATCTTTTTCATAATAGTCTTGTTCGAATCACAATCCAAAACACTATTTAGAGTGTTATTTTCAAGCTTGTATCAACAGATTTGCATCTTTTATTTTCGGAATTTCAAAATATCTAAATTTTACGCGAGAGCTTCGACGGCGGTTCGACCGGAAATACACTTTAGATCTGCCAAAACATTGCGTTGTTTAAATCCTATCGCTCGGGAAACGTCGGAAATCGATTCTAAAGGTCAAATTACACCTGCAGCGTGATTTGCACGTGTATTGGGCTACGGGTGCTCCTTATTGGCCAATTTTAGCATGTGGTGGGCGCGTGCGAGTAAAAACCGGTAAAAACCCGATATTTTGAAAAAATCAAAATAAATATATTTCTACTGGCCGTATTCAAATGAAATTTTCCACACGAAAGCGCTTGAATACAAGGAGTATTTCACTCAGATTGAGTTCAAGAGATATTCAAGATTTTCTGGATATGAAATACAGAATATTTGGCAAAGCGGTGAGTAAAATACACAACTGTTTTGGTTTGTGTAATGTTATAACGGCATTTGACCCCCCGTTCGAAAGGCTATTTTACGAGGATTTCAACGGTGGTTTCCATTTTAAAGGGGGGTAAATACTCTTTGAGATATTTACATCGGAAGCAATCGAATGAAAAATATGAAATTTATCGCCGGACAATAAAGAGTTAAACTAACAGGAGTATTAGCACAGGTCTTCATGATATGGTGGGATAGTGAATTCGCCAACAGGTTAGATAACCTTGGAATAGTGCAGAAGTTGAACGAGAGGTATGTAGATCAATATAGCGGGTACAAGCCACAAAGCTGGGACTGAGGTACAAGGAAGGCAAGCTTTTCACAGATGAGACTAGCATTGATGAAGACCAAGGAATGAGTGCTGATAAAAGAACAATGAACCTCATCAAGCAGTGAGAGATGACTTTCACCCCTCTATTAGACTGGAGATAGATTACCCCTCGAAACATGAACATGGAAAACTACCTATACTAGATTTGAAAGTTTGGGTAGAGGACAGAGAGAAAGTCAACAATATTGTACGAATACTACGAATACTACAGAAAGGATGTTGCTTCAAAAGTGGTAATTAATGTCAGGTCAGCACTGTCGTGGAGTACAAAGAGAACAGTACTGACACAGGAAGTGCTGAGAGTGTTGCTAAACTGCAGTAAGTTAATACCGTGGGAGAACATTGTGCAAATGGTTCAGGAAATGGTATTGAGAATGCAGTATTCGGGGTACAGCAAGAAGTTTCGATGAGGTGGTAGACTCGGCGCTCAAGACATACAGAGTAAGGCAAGACGAGGAGAAGGAAGGAGTAAGACCGATGCATAGACCTAAGAGTTGGAATAAGAATGAACGAGAAGAGGCGAAGGATATGGAAGAAGGAGAATTGGTACAAGAAAAATGGTGATGAATCTGTAATATTTGTGCCACCAACACCAGGGATCAGAGTTGCAGAGGAGATATCAAAGAGAAATTAAGAGACAAGGGTTTAAGATCAAGGTAGTGGAGAAGTCAGGTGCCACCCTCAAACATATGTTACAGAAGTTGGATCCATGTAGATCGCCAACATGTAACAGAATTAACTGCCGTACAGAAGGGAAAGGAAAGTGTGATCGAGAAGGAGTCACCTATGAAACTAGTATACCTATCAGCAGTAAATGCCGACTTGCTTCTTAATTTGACAATATGTCAAAAACTGCCTCATCTTTCCATATTAACAACCTCAGTTTAAATACAATCTTAAGCTTCTAACCCGTCGTAACTCGTAACTGTAAGCTCAACACTAACTTAATCGTTGTGACGTCATTATTGTAAATATTATGAATAAATTCTTGTTTCTGTCACAAATATATGTCTTTGATCTTGACCGTAACCACAACCCATCCCCTGGCATTATTGTGTGCGAAACGTGAGAAACTACAACCATAAACTATTTCTTAATCTCACTATATTCTACCATAACTCTAATATCTGTGACATCAGAACGACAATAGTATGGAAACTTGTACTCATTTTTGGAACCTTTTCACTATACAATATCAACCAATAATTCTTTTAACACCACGCAAATTATTCAATGCTATTAGTTACACAACAACAATACACTGTATCACTATTAAAGACCATGCACAAACATTACTTCAAACTATTACAAGACCAATTTTACTGTACAGTGAGTGTGGTATGTACTATCCAAAACACAAGCATCGAGTGCTTTATCAGATATAAAAGACGAGAGCGCAGCTCGAGTGTTTTACATCTCATAAAGCCTTTTTTCCACTAGCGAATTTCTTCGCGCGAAGCAAATTTTTTATTGTTAATATTGAAAAGAATTTTTGAAATATCGTATTGTTAGAATTGAAATGCCTCAGCACTCTGTTGAACTCACAGTGCATAAAAGCTTGACATAAGTAAATTTTATGCATAAAGAAACTGTTTATTAAGAAGCTGCTTTAAATTCCCAAGAGCAGAAAATCGTGAGCTTTTACAAAGATATTTTAATTTCTTAATAAGTAAATATTTCATGTATCAAATTCTCACAATACGTTGTTTCAATAGTTTTGGGGACACCCTGTATACCGTGGGCGGGTTATTGTCGTCACAGCAGTGCAACCAAATAATTCATCATAGAATATAAGCATCAACATGCAGCTGTGAACAATGATAG